AATCACAAGAATTGATGTTAAGTTAAATTTTACGATAAATTTCGTTCGAAAATCGTTGTCGCGATTACTTACAATCATTAAATATATATTCAGAGTAAAGGATAATAATCAATTAATCCATTTAATGATAAGTTAAAAAATTAATAACTTTTAAATAGACTTAGTTAATTTTAGGTGAATTAACTTTTAACTTAAATTAATTATTTTAAAATACATGAATTTTAATTCATTAATTTTTTTACAAATCAATTCATCGATGTCAATAATTATTTCGAGCTGTTTATGAATATAATAAGGAAAATCAAAAATAGTATTAGTAGAATTCTTGTTCTTCTCTCTGAGCATCAGAGATTCTTTCCTTGTATAGAATCGTGAATATAAAACAGTCGATATTTTCTTATAAAATGTTATCTTTTCATTATTTCACATAAATTTAATTTACGGTCAAAAATTACTTGTATAAAAAACATACGTATCGCTTTGCATAATTAATTTTTAACTTTAATAAGTAAATTCACTTATAACTTATATATTTCTTAAGTTTTGATTTTGTTTACGTAACTTAAAAAATTAACTTAACTTAAGCTAATTTCATAGGTCATTTTATTTTATTATTAATTTCAAACTAAGTTAAAAAACATTAACTTTCAAACTTAGTTAAAGAACATTAACTTGACTAATCTTGACTTTATTACGACAAATGTAAACAGATCTTAATATACTCATGTAAGTGGAACATTTCAATCATAGTAGAACGACAGTTCCGCGAACTCGGCATCTTCATTGTTATCCCCGATTCGCACGAAATCGATCAGGACGTGGGCATGTTCTTTCCTCGAGAAAGCTACGCAAAGTGTTATTAACGACGTCGCCCGCGGTGAAATTGTCGGGAGGCTAACGTCACACGACGCCGTCGTCGTCGTCGTCACCATCGCGGGCAGGCCTAACCGAATGCGAAAGGTCAGCATATGTAAAAACTAATTGACGAAAGATCCGCGAGCCGGGCGTATCTACTGCTTGTCGCACTTTTTTGTTTCGATTCGTCGAGTTACGCCATCGCTCCGACGTCCTCGTACAGCCTTTTCGTTAAAGTCATGTAATCATACATTCGAGATCGAACGTGTTCCCTTACGAGGAGCAATCACTCGTCGCGCGTGTTAGAACACGTGGAATATTTTACGTACGCGTACAAGCGCCACTTTGGTGAAAGGCCTTCTTCGTTCGGGCGCGTTTAAATTAAAAGTCGCTCGCGAGTCGCTGACTCCCGATAACCTCGGCTCGTTTTGCAGAAACGACCACGACATTATCGCGATCAATTGTCCACGCTCGCATGAGCGCGTCGATTGGCACGAGGCAGGTGCGATTTCATGCAAGGTAGCGCGCTCCTCATGGTCAGATTGGAGAATGACTGCAAAGTGGACGCCGAAAGCGCACTCCGTTACGTCACACATCGATCGTTAACGGCGTTACGAAAAATATGGATGTTGTCTCGGAAAAATGTAGACGCTTTTGTGAAATTTCCGCTTTCCCGGCGTTTTAAATACGTCAATTCTTCCAGCGTTACTGCGCGCAGAGAATTCTTCTTGAAAACGTAAACATTCGTTAGCCGATAAAGCACGATGGCAGTCTTACTTGGCTAAGATATATTTATAATGTGGAAAAAAATTTTAAGACAGGTTGAGAGATTTAGAGAGCAAAGAATAAAATTGTATGCAGAAGCATTTTTTCCAAAAAGTATGAAACTTTTCAAATCGCTTTGAAACAGTCTGAGAAAAAGAATTTCCATACTGAATTACACTTTTCATACACATGTGATGCATTGTTTTATTGCTAGACAGGGAATAAAGTTTAATTCGATTAATAATTAATTGAATTAACCTGATAATAAACGAACCAAATGCGTTCTAGTTGAAGTAGGAATTACCTAGTTGAAATCTTTCTAGAATATCCCATAAGTATGCTATTAATATGACAGCGGGGATGTACGAAAGATATATTAATGGAATATTTCATGGACATTCCTCGCAAGATATGTAACACTAAACTGTCCTTGAAATGTTCCATAGATACTCCACGGAAGATGTTCTTTTAATACTTTGATAGAATATTTCAGAGATATCCTTAGATGAATGTTCTGTTATTATAGAATCTTATCGTTATACCGTTATTATAGAATTGTTTGCAGATTGTAAATTCAAATAACATATAGATACTATATTTATAAATCACCTTTGTTGTATTTTATAGTAAAAATTAGTAATAACAAATAATATATTATTTTTGCCAATTATTATTTAATAATAATTTTTTGCGTATGTAAAAAAACTTTATAAGGATTTATTCAGTTATACAAGTATATAATACTGAAGTAAAATTTGTACACACAGGATTGCAAATCACGAAAGCTATCGTATCTAAATTTACAAGGGTTGGGATAATTTGATTTTGTGACGACGCATCATTGACAAAGTATTGCGACATAATAAGTCAATTACAACGACGTTACATAAATCTTTATCGACAAGAAATCACGAATATCGCGATTTGAATATCTAAAGGTTTATTAGAATGGACTACAGCTGTAATACAGCACCGAGCCAGCGAGGCGAATATAATTTAATCTGACGGTAACAATTAACACCTGTCTGGCTCGTGTTAGATAAGCGAGGTGAAAGTTGCCTACTCCAGTATCCTATGCCTATATTATCTTTCATTATACTGTATCTTCCTATTTTTCGGGCCACCGTGCTTTTGTCGCATGACAAAATTACACATTCATTTGTAACAACGCGGAATATATTAATCGCCACGTAATTTCTTATGACAACTCATTTTATTCAGCGCGAGATTCTTATTTCCGTTTAAACTCGCTCTGTAATTCGCGACAGGATTTGAGATATAATTCTATCCGTAATTTTACATGTATGTACAAATTTTTATTTTAATTTTTGTAGATGATTATTGGAATCATTGGATGATTCATGGAATATTGGACTCCTCTAAATTCTTAATTCTTTTTTTCACTTTGTTCAGATCACTTACTAAATGAAAGACAAATAGGAGAGAGTTCGGTCTTCTCCGATGGATAATTTTCTTTTCAATATTTTTTTGACAACATAAGATTTTGAACAATCTCCCAACAGCCACGAGAGACATTTTAGATTATCATGTTTCCTAATATTAAGCGCGAGGTGAAAGTTATATATTTGTGGATGTTGACACTAAGAGAGTAGCTCAATGCCTCCAAACACAACAACATGTGTAAGCATAACATCTTGAACGCTTGCGATACATACACACAAAATGATAAATATAAATTAAATATTGTTTAATCAGAAAATAAAATAATAAGAAGTTAAAGAATGAAACTCAATTCTTACACTTTTATTTTCATTTTTTGCATATAGGATGTAATTATAAATTTACTAACGCGAATATTACAAACAAACATCTGCAAATACGAATCCTCATTGTTTAAATTTTTTGTATAAATAAAGAATTCTGATCCAAGTTCTCAAGAAACTCATACAGAAATCTTTTAAAATTTTCCTAAAATTTCAGCATAAATTCTAATCAGAATGCCTAAATTTGTTTCAAAATTAGTTACATTACTATAATATCAATTGTAATTTTATTTTCTTATTTTAAATTTTTTTCACCACAATCCAAATAGAAATAATGCGGCAACTTGCAATCTTTCTTAGTGAATAAAATCAGTGCATATTTCTATGGAATCAAAATAGAGAACCTCATTTATATATTTTTTTTGTTATTATATTGAATTATATATATATATATATATATATATATATATATATATATATATAATTAAATATAATAACAAATAAAAATAAAGAATAATAGTATTTGAAATATCTTGAATATTTTTGTTTTTTATATATTTATATTAGAAAAATGCAAATAATGTATTTAATTTATTTTGTTCATTTTTAATCTAACATAAAATAAAAAACAGAAATAATCTCTAAAATAACGTTGGAAAGATCAAATAATCGCTGTTGAGTTCTTTCATTTGGATTTGTGTTTAAAGCATCATATCTCTTTAACTTTAATTTGCATAGTTTTTCCAATTAGAGTCTATAATTTTTTGAGTGAGATTGGACTGGACCTCAATTATATTTCTTTTAAGAAATTCTCTATGTACGAACGAGCATGATTTCAATTTAATGCCGGTCTAATTATTACAAATCTACCACTCCTTTTTCTTTTCCTCGATTTAATTTGACTTTTTACTCGACTCAGATTTACTAATTACAGCATAATTGTTTTGAGAGATCGAACTGGATCTCAATTATATTTCTGCCTAAGAAATTCTCTATGTGGGCATAAATCTCCAACTTAATTTCCGTCTACAAATTAGTACTAGTACAAATAGTAATTAGTACAAATCGATCATTTTTTTCTTCCTTCCGTTTTAATTTAATTTTTTACAGGACTCAATCGCGTTTATGTAACGTTACTTGATTACGTTGTAGACATAACGATAGTGAGTCGAAATTACAAACTCGAATTTCTGGAGCATTCTAGTGCATTAACCTATCGTCGGTGCGTGACGATAGTTGTGCATAATTATAGCTGCAACTGGTACAACAAGGTCTACCGGGGACTTCAAGCCCGATATTGCGCAACCGTATAAATTACCTCCGTAAATTACGGCTACGCCGCGCCGCCGCCGAACGCGACGGCGAGGTTGGATTTTCTTTGCCTTTCGGCGAAAAAAGAAAATACCTTCTGTTATCTTGGCGATGTGTGTCGACGTAAACGCCGCAAATTATGTTTTAACGTGTGCTCTAGCATTTTCATGGAAAGTAAAGCGCGGAAAAATGTCTCAGGCGAAAGTCGAGCGTTGCACTTACGATAAATATGCGATACAGGTATGGATTCGTACCGCGTCATTTGCGAAATTTTAAAAACGCCGAGAATTCAATCAATCACGTTTCCTCAGTGACTCAGCCGTTCTTTTTTCTTTTATTTTTCAGTTTTCTTGTCGATCCTCAACTTTCATCATGGCCGTTTATTATGCAGCGCGGGGGAACCTGGCGTAAGTGCACTGTAAAAGATTTTGTGTTAAATTTAATACATTTCGCATGTTCCAATTTATCCGCTCTAATTTTTGCGTTAATTTAACATAAGACAAGTATGTAAACAAATAACACAAGTAATAAGATGGCACAAATAATAAGATTACTTACAAATGATTCTCATTAAAACCTGATAATGAAGCCACAATAGGTAGAGTGAGTAAAAAGCCCGACAAAGATCTGATCAATCTAACATTATTAATACACTAGGTTGCAATATTAAGGCTATATAATGTAAACTTAATAATTATAACTTTACAAAAAGTCAATTATTCAATTATCATTAGAACATTATAAGATCCTAGTAAGCAATCTGTGCACAGACTAACTTCAGATTGATGACAGATTTAAGCAGAATCTGTCGACAGATCCATAAACATCTATGTCCTTAATTTACTGTTAAATTGTGGACAGAGTTTGCTGACAGGTTTTGATGGCATACACAGATTGGCGACAGAATGCATCGTTAGAGTCTGTCAACAGACTCTGCGAGCAATTTATCTCCAATCTGCTGTCAGAGTCTAAATAAACAGATACTGTATGCAATCTGTTGCCTTTTTGTCACAGACACTGATTCTGCGCAAAATCTGCTCGCGTAGGTTTGGTTATCTGGGATATACCATATTTAGGATTACCTTATATTTACTCAAATGGGTCCTTGTACAATATTAGATATATTTGATCAAAATTTCTAGTCGCGAAGATTGCGATACGTGTGGGAACTCTAACATCGTGGCTGTGACCGTCTTCGTAATCGCGATTACTGTTGTTGTTACTGTCAACATCACCGTTTTCATTGTCGCCGTCGCTATTGCTGTTGTCGTGATCGCTACTATTATCATAGAAAACTTTAGTTTGGCACAGAAATTAAAACGTTAGATAATGATTCCACAAATATATTTTATCCTTCTTTAGATCCTTGATAGATACTATTATTCAAAGAAGTTCAAATAATTTGAATCTGCTATTCATTCGTATGATCACGTGTAAAGTTGTAATTGTAAAGTTGTATAAACTTTATGTAAACGTATTTATTTTTACAATAATTTACTAATTAGTAACTACATCAATTATATGAGCTATCATTATAATCCTATTGATCTAATCTGTTTTTTAGCGAAAATAATCTCTGAAATAATTTTAGTTGTCTTCCCTTTAATGTTCCATTTGTTATTTAATTTTCAAGAAAATTAATTATTAAAACAACAAATGTTGCACAAAATTTTTAGTTTTAAAGATTGTTTTGGTATTTTCTAATTTTTTTTATTTTACGATCTTTTGTGTTTTCTTTGTTTTGTAAACTTTTTTCTACTATTTACTAATTATTTTTACTTCATTGTCATTTTTGTTTGGATTTTTATTAATTTAAAAATCTTTTTTGTTTCACATCATTTTATTGGGATTTCTATTAATTATTTTTTTCTCATCTGAGTGTTTTGTTAAGACTTTTTAAATTTTAACTAAAATATATGTATAATGAAGTAAAATTTAAGTTTGGTTAAAAGAGAATTTATTGGCTTTTTGAGTTTTATTAAATGTGTTTTCTTAATTTTTTAATACTTTTTGTTGCATATGTATTTGAACATTTTTCATGTATAACGTATTTTTCAAACAACGTTTGATTTAACAAAACATAATTATATTTGATATATAATTATGTTTTGGATCAATTAAATTGAAGTCAAACAAATAGGAATACTAAAGCCAAAAAAATATTTTTTCTGTGTGTGCAAGCCCGTCGCTAACGACTTTCGGTTTTACCACACTGAGAAAAAAATACTTGAAAATTTGTGGGATATGAAATTATTTTTCACAGAAATAAACTTTACATTTCACAAATATTCAAGTATTATTTTCAAGTTTTATGAGATCGCAAATTCATTGTGTCTAAACCGCTTTGCAACTGAGCGTACTTTTTCTTTGACGTATTTCTGGCTTTTCTGTTTTTTCAAGTATTTGGACTTCGACAACTTGCCGGAGACGAATTTTTCGTGTCAGGGGAAGGTGATCGGCGGTTACTACGCGGACGTCGAGGCGGGCTGCCAAATGTTTCACGTCTGCACCATTGGTCAGAAAGGTAGTTCTACATTATGAAGGCGGGATTCCCCAAGTACAAAACGCGGAGGTCGCGCAAATCGTTTTCACATCTTGAAAGGAATTCTTAACGCGAAATTCTTCGAAAACAGCTCTTCGCGAGGTTGCTTCGGCTGAAAACACGAAGTACAAATCGCAGCATGTATTTAAATATCGCTTCGTGAAACCATAATTTCATGACAATTACGAAATTAATTACGAAGCGAAGCCAAGATCTCCACGTGACAAGAATCGGCGGTCGAAAAAGGCGCGCGTTGCGCAATACACAATCGAGTTGCATAATTCCGCGCTGCGTTTTCCGCGGGAAGAAAGTATCGCTCGCACACGAGCATGAGAGAGCTCCATTAAACAAATTGAATTCTCATGGCCGGATTCGCGCGCGCGTCGAAAGTGCACGATCGGATGAATAGATCGACCGCTTCTCTCGTGACAGTGCCAGAGCCAGATTCTCGACTTAGGTCAGTAAACGTTCCTCGACGACCGTGACATTCTCGCCGTGAGCGATCTCCCGATCGATTACAAAACTCTACGATGGGGCCCTCGGCCGGACATTTCGAAACGATCTACTTATCGTCATACATCTACAACTTCAAACGCGACGTTCGCGTTATTGATTATCACGTCTAATTCTCACCGCCGGCTCCATGCCTGGCAAATTAGTTCGCAGGTCGGTCTGAACCGTCCAAAGCAACTGGACTTTGATCTTCCGTGACAGCACGCGAATATTTTATATATAAAATAATTTGCATAATCGCCAGCGTAAAATAGCTCTTACAAATCGAATCGAAGTGGATCCGGCGATCGTTGTTTTTTATCTGCTTTCATTTTTTGGAATTTCACAGAATGCGAATGCTTTAAATGCACATAAAACGTTTTTTCAGAAATAAGTTATCAGATTCGTGAATAACTTCCACGCGAAGAGCTGAGTTTGAAGATACGTGGATATTTTTGATTGTTCGGGCGGAAACGTTTCGCTAACGCGATTACGTATCATTATTGATTGAATGAAATTAATTGTATGGAATCAATCGGCAAAATCGCAAATGCGCCAAGCGAACGGCGCGGAATCTTGATGAGGTTCCAAAAATAAACAGGTCCCATCAATCCAGAGCATCCCCGAATGACCCTGTCCTTCACCGTGAGACTTGGTTTCAGACGAGATTATGGACATCAAATTCCTCTGCCTGAACGGGACCGTCTTCGATCAGGAGACTAGAGTCTGCGAGAGGGTGGACGAGGTCGACTGCAGCAAAAGCGAACGCTTCTACAACCTGAATCTGGAGCTCTACGGCAATAACGCGGTGACGCTCAGGTAATTCTATGTCGAAATTTTACGTCTTGAAGAGATACAAATGCGCCTTTTCACGTTTAAGATAAGTCTTCAATCGGGAAGTGATTGAGAAAATAGGACTAAAGAAAATAGGAGAAAATAGGAAAGATATCTTTTTACTTGTTATCGGTACTCGTTAGACTAGATCTTAGTCAGAACCATAATGTTGATTCAAGGTTGATTCGACGTCGAAATGATCGATGAGCTGTTGAATCAATGTTGATTCAACTCTCATCGACGTCGAATCAATCTTGAATCAACGTGTAGTTCTGATTGGGATGACACATTCTTCAAAATTTTAAAATTGCAATTTGTCGAACAACTAATTGTTGCGATTTATTACACAAACATGTGATTGAGACAACCATCCATTCAGCGCGCGTTTTTCCTTAATCTTTCGCAATTAATTTCTCGGTTATTATTACGAATATTGCAAAACGATACAGGACTTTTATGTTCACCTCGACCCGCTCTATGTAGTAAAGCTTCATAATAATTACACTAATAGGTAGATTGGCAAAGAAGGACCCATTGCCTGGTCTACACGATTTTTTGATTTAAACCCCTTGGATTTTTATTTATGGGAACATCTTAAGACTTTTGTTTATAGTACTTCTGTTACTACTGTGGAACTATTCCGGAGCTGTATTGTCGCTCCAGAGAGAAAGTACTGTGAGAAAATACGAATTACAGAGAATTTTTGAATATCTGTGACAATCCATGAGACGTCGATGTGAGGTATGCATTGATGCGGAAGAAAATCATTTTTTTAATTAAATATTCTAACGTCTATTGTAAATAAAAAGTAAAATTATCAAAATTTGTTATAAGTAAAGTGTTTATAATTTGAAAAGAAAGTGTTCCCGGATCCATGTTTATATGACTTTTTTCATCTTTACAACAAATAGAATATTCTCTTAAAGTTTGGCCACCTATTTCTGAAACGCCATTATATATTGGGAGTACAAATAAGTCTCCGCCGTTTTTTATCAAAAATTGGGCATTTATTGTGAAAGAACGGTACCTTGTGTTTTATTCAAAGTATTGTCCATCGCTAGCCGCTACTTTTTTCCATCTTTCTGGCAGCAGACGGATACCGCGTCGGAAGAACGCTTCATCTTTTGAGGCTATCCACGAATCGACCCAATTTTTGGTATCTTCATATGATATGAAGTGCTGTTCAGACAGGCCGTGCGCAATCAATCGAAACAAGTGATAGTCAGAGGGAGCAATGTCTGATGAATACGGCGAGTGGGGTAAAACTTCACAATTGAGTGTTTCCAAGTAGATTTTGACCGGCGCCGCAACATATGGACGAGCATTATCATGCAGGAGAATAATTTTGTCGTGTCTGGAGTAGTAGTGGGCGCGTTTTTCCTTGAGTGCTCGGCTCAATCTCATCAATTGTGTTCGGTAGAGAGCCCCAGTAATGGTTTCGTTCGGTTTGAGCAACTCATAATACACGACACCAAGCTGATCCCACCAAATACACAACATTAGTTTTTTTTCATGAATATTCGGCTTGGCTGTCGATGTTGAAGCATGGCCACGTGGTCCCCATGATTTCCTCTTCTTTGAGTTATCGTAGTGGATCCATTTTTCATCACCAGTGACTATACGATGTAAAAAACCCTTTTGTTTATGCCTGGCAAGCAGCATTTCACATGTGCAAAATCGGCGTTCAACGTTTTTCGGCTTTAGTTCATATGGAACCCAATTTCCTTGATTTTGAATCATTCCCAACGATTTTAAACGATGTGAAATTGCTTGTTGAGTCACTCCTAATGTAAGTGCAAGTTCTTCTTGCGTTTGGCACGAATCTTCCTCCAATAATGTTTCCAATTCCGCGTCTTCGTACACTTTCGGCCTTCCGCTACGTTCTTTGTCTTCGACGTCAAATTCACCGTTCTTAAACTTTTGAAACCACTCACAACTTCTCTCACTTAAAGCAGCCTCACCATATGCTTCTACAAGCAATCGATGCGCCTCAGCTGTAGATTTCTTTAAATTAAAGAAATAAATCAAAAGTTCCCACAAATGACGCTTATTCGGCTCAAAACTCAACATTTTCGCACGAAAAAAATTATGTGATGCTGATACAAAATCGCTAATATTTCAAGGTTATGGTGTTGCCAGACGTCCAACCTTACGATATGACGTTTTACATCTGACAATTTCAACCATAACTTACTGGTGGGGCCATCTTTTGTCAAACGTCGGAGACTTATTTGTACTCCCAATATTATGTATATACATCAATGCATTACGTTATGTAGGACATACATATATACTGTAATGTATATTCAATTCATATATATGAAATATATGTGCAATGCGCATATATAGAATTATTTGTATATCATATATGTATATACAGAACATATTCAATGTTATATAGGGGAGTGGATGCCGATAATTATCTAATTTACTTCAAACTTGCAACGATTATGTTACGTCACGTAACATAACACGTTACTACCTTGAAAAGCAATTCCTTAACGACGAAAGGAACTGTCGATAAAACACGGAAGAAGGAGGTTATTACATAATAATGAGTTCCAGAAAGGTTCCGTTAATTACAACGCAAGACTCTAAACATTTCACTAAGACCGGTGGCGCGTGGCAAGCCAGTTCCTAATTCATTTTCCGGTTTCGCGTTGTGCGCGAGTTGCTGCGAACAGAAACCGGCTAACAAGTGAAATAAGTTGTTGCACGCTCCTATTGGCTGGCTCGCCGGTCACACACGGCGTCTACTAATGCCACAGCTGCTCGTAACGGACTTGGACGTTCACCCCGGGTTTCGTAAGGACCAGAGACACATCGAGTGCCTTTCCTTCAATATAATTTATACTGTCGATTTGCACAAAAATGTCTCGTGAGAGAGTATTGGGAGCATATGTTATATAAATTCTTGTCATGCAAATGAGTAATACAAGGATTTTACTGCTCATTTGAATTAGAAAAAAAGAAACGAATACTTTCTTTTTTTAATTTAATTTTAATTTAATTTCTAATTTTAATTCCACATTTAACTATCGAGTATCAAGAGGAGAAATATTTTCTTGAAGGAAGAATTGGTGCTGCTAAAAACGTGTATTTTTTCATTGTAAAAATTTTTCGTTGAAATTCTAAACTCGATCGTTGCGGGACATCCGACAGTATACGTGAGATTCTATCGAGTCCGTGCATTTCACAGATTCCTGTCTACATTTCTCTACCGGGATTTTAACCAGCTCGCTTCGTATTGTTTGCGCGATATCTTGAATGACGCTTGGAAATACGATCACGTAATACGACGCGGTGAAAACATCGATCTCAGTTCAACCTAATTCCTATTATCAAAGAGATCGAATACATTTTGGTCCGCATAGAAATTTCCCAAGATCTCCTAGACATGGTATAGATTCTGATTAGAATTGCTAAATTTGCCTCAAAATTGGATATCTCATTATGATACCAATTGGAAATTCCATTTTTGGGATTCCAAATTCCAAACATAAATTCTTTGTTTACAGTATCGATTACATATATCTTTTCTCTTAATATGAACTGTGAAGAATAAACTGTGAGTTTTATGTAGAAAGTTTCACATTTTTATTGTTTGAAAAGTTACCTGATCGCTAAAGTCGTCGAACTCACGCGAAACTTTTCACTCTGCTCTTAAGAAAAAGTTACATGATTACTATCTAGAATCGAAACAGAAATATTAAAACTCGCGTTTTTCAGTTAATAACGCAGATATACTTTTATAGTACCAAACAGGGAAATCCGCACAGAAATTTTCCAAGATCTTTCCAAATGTACCACAGATTCCGATTAGTGAGATAATTAAATTTGTCTTAAAATTGCTTATCCTACTACAATATAAATTGAGAATTTCCTTACCTCAAACGTAGATTCTGTGTAGGTTGAGCGTTACACGTAAATTATGACACTGTATGACATGTCTATGTAAACACAATGAAGTATTTATAAATTTCGTTTGAAAAACTATGGTTTATGAATGTCGTTTGAAGAATTGTAGTTTTCTAAAAAATTAATTTAAAAAAGTTTATATTTATTTGGTTTTTAGAATCCTAAATTTATGAATTTCTTAAACATATAGAGTCCATAGAATCCTCTATATACTTATCTGTTGAGAGTTAAATCTATTAATCTGTCATGTAACGAAATAAGAATATTATGTAATTTGTTATATTTTTTTAATATTACATTTATAATTAATATCCAAAACAGATATAATAATATCTGTTTGATAATTTAGTTACAATTTTTTTATGTATATTCTAATGTAATTTGAAATATTCTACATAATTTGTATTGTCTAAATACATAAGAAACTACTGTGTATACATCACAAAATACGTAAACAATCCGCATAGATGTAATCTTGAAACCTACGGCACAACCCTATCTAAAGTTGAAGCAATCTCTGTTTTCTGTCTAAAATTAAAATAGAAATACTATGAAAACCCGCAGTTCTTTTCCATTAATAATGATATTTCATTTTTATAAAAAAAAAAACTACAATACTTACTAAAATAAAAAATCGAAAAATAAAATATCTTTTAGATACTTTGAGTATTTGAATAATGAAATAATTTGGAAAGTCAATATATTTTGTTCAATTTTAATTTAAAATGAAGATCAGAAAAAATATCGTAAAAATTTTGAGTTTCCCACATAAAATAGCATATTTAAAACATTCCGCTTTTAACTAAAATCCATAATTATTTTTAGAGATCAAGCTGCATCTTAATTCAAGACATTTTCTATGCGGGAGATTCAGGTGTGCAGCCGCGAACTCACGACACGTGCGCGCGTGCGCGGTTTGGCGCAAAACGTTCACCGCTCGCGCGAGTCCTGCGGTACTGCAGACACATACAACGGTGAAGTTGCCGGCTATAAAAGGAATGCACGCTCTGGCATCCATAAATATTTTAGCAGCTTTCCTTCACTCGTCGGTATGCCAGGAATGTCGACTTCCCCCTCTGCGGCCGTCCCTTACCCTCCTGGGCGGGGGAAGTGCAGTATCCAGATAAAAATTATTACGATTAACTGTCACAGCGGCAAAATTTATTTCTCGACGACGTACGGCTTAGGCATCGATGACTTCTATTTTTAGCCGAGTCGGTCGGTATTTTGAATATAAATCTCATTCGCGCCGGTCGATTTTACTCGGACTATCCCGCCTGCCTGCCTGCTTGCCTGCCTGCTTGCCTGCTTACCTGTCTGCCTATCTTGCTCCTTGTACGGTTAACGTCGTTATCATCATCCATCCGCGTCGCCAGCACTTTGATGATTAGCGGTTGTTAGTTGGAAGCGGTTATCTCGAGGTCGCACACAACGAGATGCGCTCCCACCGGTTCAGGAATGCGCTGAGTTTCTGCGCTCGCGACACTCGACCATCTACTACGACAAGCACGAGCAGGTGGAGACGATTTCCTCTTTCATTATTTATAACGCATTAGCAACTTGTACGATAAATGCCGCGGCATTTACGATAGGATACAATTTAGACGTGATATTGTATCTTAGCATTGGATGTGTCTCATCAGATAGTATTCATAATCAGATCTTATTTTTAATATCGTCTTAATTTTATTTTATGATGCTGTGTAGTCAATGAAGAGGCTCTTACGTTATTTTAAAATTGTAAAACGATCTTAAATATAAGATAGGACAATGAATATTCTATATAACATAACACATTCTATATTAAAAACAATTAGGGCTTCTTCATAAATGACTGTATCATTCAATGGATATCTGAAATATAGAATATCTCGAACTGAAATTTTGATTTTATACGCTAATTACACGTGTAAATATTATCGAATTTAAAGAATCAATAGAGAATTTTGAAATGTAACGTTATACTCAGATAATTCTCTTACCTTGATACTCTAAATGGTTATTTACTGTCACTTTCTCTGTTATTATTTAATATAATCACACTTAATAGAATTATTTAATATTCAATTACATAAATATTTCCTGCATTCAATCTTTATTTTTAACTTTCATAAATAATGAATAATTATATAACTCATTTAATTGTAGATAATATGAAATTAAAAAACCTATATAAAAAGTTGCGTCTTGAGGTGCTTCATATATCCTTCAAGTTCGACGGAATAAGTAGAACAAAAATTTCGTCTCAGGATATTTTGCTTAATATAAAATATCATATTGAAAATAATTAGAAGTTCGCTTCTTTAGATTCTATATTACTTAATATATATCCAGAGTATAGAATATTTCCGAATCGAAATTCTAATTCTACACTTATCTCTGCAAATGTTCTTAATTTAAAATATCATTAAAATCTCGAGATGTAACATTACTCAGGCTATTTAGATTATCCTACCTTGATGTTAAAACTGCTAATAAATAATTATTTACTGTTATTTTCTCTATATTGAACAAATATTTATTCAAGAATTACTTAATATTCTATTCTCTGTATTTAATCTTTATTCTTAACTTCAATGTAAACACAATATATTAATTATATAACTTACTCAATAAACAGTAAGTAATCGAAATACGATAATCTGTATAATCCTCAGCAAACATAATGCCGTATAATAAAGCCATTGATGTCGTTAACACATCATTAATATGTATTGAATTTTATGATGCTGTGTAGTCAATGAAGAGGCTCTTACGTTATTTTAAAATTGTAAAACGATCTTAAATATAAGATAGGACAATGAATATTCTATATAACATAACACATTCTATATTAAAAACAATTAGGGTTTCTTCACAAATGACTGTATCATTCAACGGATATCTGAAATATAGAATATCTCGAACTGAAATTTTGATAAAATCAATAATTAATAAAGCCATTGATGTCGTTAACACATCATTAATATGTCATTTCATGTTATTAATATGTTATCATGTTTGCTAGACGTTATATCTCACGATTCCCGATTGATCTTTCAAGTTTGACGTAATATGCAGAGTCAATGTGAAACCAAAATTTCGTTTCGTACATTTAATCTTTGGATATTTAATCTTCGTATCTCATTTTCATCTCTACGTAATTATGTAAATGCAATATCCCATAATTATCCTAAGCCATTCTTAAATCTCATTCGAGCGGTACAATTGCAACTCGAGCGAACAGCTCGATCGAAGCTATTCGTTCGGTGCGATCCCCTAATTGTTTTGACCGATGTGTCTGGTTTCGCAAACCGCGCTACTCGTGCCAAAACGCAATACTGGAAACGCAGAGGCACACTTACGTGTTCCCCGTTGCAACATTAGAGAACAATGTTGCAACGCTAATCAATTATCCGGCTTGATCTGTACGCCAAGCATTCTCTCGTTCCCTGCCGCAGCCTGCACGAGAACGGCGACGACGAGGATGACCTGCCGGATCTGGTGGAGGATCATCAACCGCGAACGACCTCGGCGCGGCCCAGCACGACCTCCACGACCAGCACGACCACGTCGCGGCCGAGCAAGCCATCCACCACGGCCGCCAGCGGCTCTTTCCAGCATCCGACCGGTTATCCGCAGCATTATCAGCCGCAGCCGCCGTTCCCGCAGATCCACACGAGCCAGTCCAAGTCGCTATACGACGACAAGAACGGCGGCTACCACCACCAGTACATCTTCCACAGCGACGAGCGCGAGCGCAACAATCAGGCGACCTCCTATCAATTGTTCAGCAATCAGGGCGTCAGCTCGACGACCGCCCAGCCGTCGCAACCTCCGCCACCTCCGCCGCAGATCCATCAGATCAGATTCAGCTCAACGGTGGGCCCGCAAATCATTCACAACGAACCCTCGACCGTGACGCCGCTGTACCACGCCACGTCTTCGACAATCCAGACGCTGCTCAACAGTAACGCTAACAGTCCGGCCTTGATCAACCCCATCTTTCACAATCACGGCATCGCTAGCACCACCGAGCAGTTCACCGTGCATAGCAATAATCCGCGGGAGACCTCCGACTATCGCGACGAAGACGATCACGAGCAGAACGTCAGACCATTGGCAGCGATACAGCCGACCAACAAGGGAAAGGTGTGTATTATTCTGCCGATTATCTTGTCGTTGTGTTCATATATTTTGATAGTACTTGGAAATTTTCGAAAATTTAATTATGAATAGGTCTTTTGCATTATAAGATAAATTTTGCATTACTGAGATAAAAAAATTAAAGGAATGCCATACTTTAAAACTTTATCGACAAAATGTTAACTTTTTTTCTGCAAAGTTTATGTCGTATTGGTTCTATAGAAAATGCATTTGCATAATGAAAATACGTGCAGAAATAAATTGGTATATTACTCAATAGTAAATAATAAAAAATGATAAAAAAATTACATCTCGAGTTGTCAGTTAGCGTAAATATTTGCTGATACAAAAGTACTGCTTGTACAACTGTGTGTTTGCTCTGTTCAGGAAAATTTTAGAGAACATTGTTGTATCTTTACAACTGAATGCAAGTAGAATTGAACATATAAAATTTTTCTATCATTTTACAAAAAACTACATAAAATTTTGAATAATTAATTAAAAAAGATTGGTGAATTATCACAAGCAATACAGTAGATGAACTGTAATGGCGACGTCTGTTGTCGTGTTTTTGCATCAAACTAAAAAAAGTCCTGTACCGTTTTGCAAGTAATTATATGAATATTTAGTTATCAGCTAAAGAAAATTGATACATTATCGCGGACAATTGTGCATTAATCTTCTTTAATTGATAACTAAAAATCTACGTAGTTATTTGCAAAATAGTACAAGATTTTTTTATTCAGTTTGTTCAGTTACCTAATATACAAGTACACGACGGCAGATGTCGCCGCACTGAGAGAAAAAAATAGTTGGAATAACTATAATCTCACTATATTTTATATTTTATAGTTCGTTTTGGCCTCAAACATATATTTATAGTTCATCTAAACATGAAGATATAGTAGAATGAACACAAATTTATAGTCACCATCTTATTACTCTGTATATATGGTAAAGCACCTTTTGGGAATATAGTTACATATACCTATATTTGCCAAATATTCCAATTGTATTGACTATATAAAATAGTTAATTTCTCTTACTATTCAATATTTGCCACCTTACCATATTTTTTATTTCAAATAATTATAATTCTTGGTAAAAATTTTACATGGGTCATACTATACTTATATTGTAAATATTATGGTAACATTTACTATAAAAATTATATTCCTAACTATAATATTTTTACTATGCCATTATAGTTCCAAATATCATACATCTTTCTCTCAGTGCGTAATAGCTCTCTATATTATTATTATTTCTGTCATATAGATCTTATATAAAAGTATGATGCTTTATTTTACTATATTTAGTAGAAAACATGACCACTCAAATAGCCAAACTTGCACAGGTAGATTCTAAGCAGAGTCTGCTATATCTGTCTAACGATGTTGCTAAACTGCTGCTAGAAATTTAACGAAGCTTATTGACATGCTATGCTAGCAAATTGAACAAACAAGGCAGAAATCAAACAAACTCAAACAATGTAGCAGTTTGATGGACAAGTTAACGGCAGGAACCGAACAAATTTTGTTAGAAATGTGAAAAAAGTAGAACAGGATTGTTTCTACGCGCAATTTGGCAGCATTTGGCTGTCTTCATGCCAGAACACGAACACTAGATTTATGGGACCCGTCAATTTGACGGGTTTCGGATTTTACGAGCAAAATTACAGAAACTATTATTATTATTTTCTAACAATTTTTGTTGACTATTATTAATGAAATGATACGAATATATATTCAAATTATTCATTTACTTCTCAGACTTCTAATTTTGAAATTCTCTATGTCGTATATATCTATTTCTCCGGATACCCGTCAAATTGACCGTCAAATTGCCCCGTAAATCTAGTGTTAAAGCGGACATTGAGTGGTTTTCTTATGACATTCTGATCGAATTTGCTATCAATCTTTCAGCATATTCCGAACATTTTCCTTATAAAACACGTATATACAATATGTCTGACAATTAATGACATATTTGTTATATATAGGTCCCATAAAAATAAATACACATTTCCACTGTCGCTTCCACTGTATAAATTAAACTTAGCTAAATTAAAGCTGATTAAATTAAACTTAATTTAAATTTTAAATTTTAAGTATTTTAATGAGTTTTAATATTAATCTCAGAGTACATTAAAGTGTAGAATTTAAAAAGACTCTTAACTACTTGAAAAGATACTAAAATGGATGATTAATTCGATAATATATATGTTATTAAAAATTAAAAAGCTAAAAATGATTCACTATCAGTATCCTTACGTAGTTCTTATTGAAATAAATTAATTCTTAATGATTGAATTAAATCTTTTTATGGCATTTCTCTTTGTTAATTCTATCACCAGATAAACTTCAACTAACGCAATTAACAAAGATCAATATGACAATCAACGAGTTGAAGAAGAAACAATAAGAAAAATGGCATTATGTATCTTATATTTTAGGTTTCCAAGCTATCGATATCACCGATCCCGAGCCAGCAGGAGTTGTCCCGTGTGCAACCGAAGGCGAGTCAAGGATCACAACAACAGAGGAATCTCGGCAACTTTCTGCCAACGCCGGCCACCATCGAGACCACTGTGAGGTCCTTCTACCCGACTCCGCGCCCTTCGCCAAAGCCTTCGCAGTCGCACTCAGTCACTCAGCAGATTACCCAGCACATCCACGTGTCGCCGGGCGTGACGATACCGCAGTTGAAGCCGCATCAGATCACCATCAACTTATCACCGCCAGACATCCAAAGGATCGTGCAGAATCCATCGCCTCTTTTACCTTCGCAGTCGAGGGTGATCGTCACGGCGAAGGCAAGCGTGAGCGACGAGTCCGGCAGACCTTTGAATACTACGCAGCTGGTAACGCTGCCATTGCCGACCATACCGGCCAGCTACGACGACTACAAGGAGGGCGACGAGTCCTTCGATCCCTTCTACCGCGACGTGCCGAAGATCCGCAAAAGTCGTCGAATCTTGAAGAACGAAGACGACAACGTGAGATCAGCGAAGAGGAGGAGAAGGCGTTCGCTCGATCAGGGTTATCGCTTCGTTTATGACGCGAACAGTCGCCGGGAAGCTAATTCGAAGGAAGGCGAGTCCCGCCGAAATGCAGATAACGCGGCGAACGAGAAGAAGACGTACGCCGAGATCAATGAGGGAGATCTGCGAGCTGTTAAGGGTAATCTCATGAAATTTAGAAACATCTTGTTCAGCGACAAAGTATACGATTCTATATACAGCGACGACTCTGAGGAAATTGAAAGTAAAACTGATCGCGACGCCAAAGAAGGGGGTGAGACGTTCGACGTTAAATCCATCAAGCAGACGAAAGACAACACGATAAGAAAGTTCTATTCTTTAGAGGACTTAAAAACGGAGGGCGCGAAACATTTAGATCTATATAGAGAAGAAGATGCCGATGTAGTCAAGGAAGAAGTGGATGACGACAATACGAGTAACGAAGATTTTACTGACGACGAAATTGATACTGAGGAAAGGATCGATGAGAAGAAACACATTGATGACATCCCGGAACCGGAAGTTAAATTAAAATTTGAAATGAACGGTCAATCTCCGTCAACAACTGCTCGTTCTAAAGAGATTGAGTCTCAGGATGGCGTTATAGATGTAGTAATACTTGACTTCGCCGATAACAAAACGAAATCCTCGCCTTTGAGTTCCGACGTCGTTAAAGTCTCAAAGGATAATTCGCCTATTGAGATTATCATTGAAGAGGAGACTAAATCCCGCTCTCAGGATTTGTCGAAGACCAACGACAAGACGCCGCACAACGGACAAACTGCAGAGAATGTGACAAAAGAAGCGGCGAAACAAGCGAGCTCTCCCATGATAGACGCTGAGAGTCAACCGGGAATTCCTCAGCAGACGACGAACCAGAAAAACACGAAGAATTCCGCAGAACGTAAGTCCAGCTCGAGAAGAAAGAGTTCTCGCCCGAGGTCTTCGAAAAGACGTATATCTTCGAGGGTGAAGCAACAAAGAACGAATCACGTCGAGACGACGGAAGTAGTTCCGCAAGAAGAAGAAATAGATAGAACGGCTGATATAACGACTACCACTATTAGTACCACACCTACCATTACAACCACCACCACCACCACCACCACCACCACTACAACAACTACTACTACTACAACTACGCCCCCGTCCATCGCGCCTTTTGAGATGCAAGTTGCAGAGCAAATCGACAGCCACATTTACGAGGAGCCGGAATCACGAACTTCTAAGGAGATAGACACGCGAGCGATCGGACAATATGACGCGATGTATTCAAAGAGCTCACAAGACAGCAAGAGCCATTACATGAGCAAGAGTAAAAAGATAGAGCGACCGTTTGATCATCAAATTATAGAAGACTATAGCAAGAATCAAGAACAACACGACGACAAATTTGAAGAAGGATCTGAGACGGAATCACCAGATTATACGCAGAATATCAGCTCGGAATATATCAACTTTACCGAAGATCCACAAAGTATGGAAGATCCGCAAAATACAGAAGTAAGATCGACGAACGTTTATGAGGAGAAGGAGGAAGTCACGAACATTTATGAGGAGAAAGAAACGTTTACCGAGGAGTCTCTCTTCACCGAGCACGAGACTGCGAGCGACGAATCTGACGCGAAAATGACTAACGAGGAATCCGAGGAAAATTTAGAGGAAATGCCAAACAAGATATCTTCGTCACAAGAAGTTGCGGTTTCCAGTGAAAGTGACGATTCTTCTTACCAAGAAGAATCGTCCCATCAAGAAGACGAAAATGAGAAACCAAGTATTCTGAAGGATGACTTGAACGAAGAAGAGGACTCCATAACCGTGAAGAATCACAAGGAAGCGACCAGTTCCGAGGAGGAACTAAACGAATACCAGGACACGATAGAGTCATCCACGGAGAACGTGCACAACGTCAACGCCGAAGAGGATTACAAGGAACTTGAAAATACAGACTACTCCACTATACCAGCTGATTACACGAGTTCCTATGAATACACCGATCCTCCGGAAGACGTCATGGACTCGACCGAAAAACAAGAGAGTGATAATAGCAATGAGGGTGTCCTGAAATTCACAGACGAGCTGCCCAAGTGGGATTACGAAGAGTCATCGACAGCCCGCGTGTTTAATGAGTACGATTACGTCGACGACACTTACGAAGCGATAATGTACGAGAATAGCGACCAGGCGAAATACGAGCAAGAGAAATACGAGCGAGAGAAATATGAGCAAGAGAAGCAAGAGCGGGACAAATACGAGCGGGAAAATGACGAGCAGAAGAATAACAAGCAGAAAGATAGCGACCAAGTGGATTACAAGCAGCTGGTATTTAATATTACATTAGGCAATTTTAATAAGGAGAAAAACGAGTCAGAGAAAAAGAATCAAGAGGAGGAGAAACCGATCGCGGAAGACTCTGATCGTGAGAGAAGCACCGAGGCAGACGACAGCGTAAAAGCGAAAGATCAGGCGGACCATATGGAGTTTGTCCCGCTTATTATGAATCTTAAGGAAACTGCGAATCCAACTACGACTTCGTCGACTACTACAGTAGCGTCTACCGCAACGACGACGTCTACGACGAAACCTACGATAGAATCTACGACTACACCTACAACGATAGAATCTACGACTACACCTACAACAACGTTTACGACGGAGTTTCCAACTGTACCTACAACAGCGTCTACGACGGAGTCTACGACTGCACTTACAACGGAGTTTACGACTGCACCTACAACGGTGTCTACGATGGCATCTACGGCGACATCTACACCGGAATTAACGACTACAGACGTTCATTCAACACATTCATACAGTACATTGTCCACGACCACAACCACTATGAGCACGACTACCTCTCCGTCAACGACTACTACTCCTCGTCCTACGCCGCCGAAACTTTTCAAGCCCAATGCCGCCAGAAGGACTTACGCTTACGTTCCACCCACGACAACCCCCGTCCCGGTGGTGATTAAACCGAGACTGGGTCTGTACAATCCCAAACCAGCAAAGCCGCCCAAATCCTACAGCGAGCTGGCGCCAAAGCCAGTCATCAGAAAGCTTCCTCTATTATCACGTAAACCTACCACCACCACTACTACCACCACTACCACCACTACCACCAGTCCAGGAGTTACCACAATTATGGACAAATCAAACCAGGATCAAGAAACTACAATAATAATAACGACAGAGGTGATGTCACCGCTGACGATGCCTACGACGACTACAACGACGGAATCTAGTAGAAGCGAAGAGAACGTTCTCGAGAGTAAGTTGGAAGCGAAGGACCATGAGCTTCCATCTCTTGCGAAGAACGACGCGAACAAGGAGGACCAATTTCCGAGCCCGTCCGAGCAAAATTCCCCTGTCAACTCTTCAAGAGACCCAGACTTTTACGTGTCCACTGAGAAAACCCAAAGTTTTACTCCGTATCCTTTAACTAGACAGGCGACTACCACCGAACAGACAGCGAAGGAAGCAGAAAGCAAACTACACGAGACTACGGAGAGCATTGATATCCTTACGACGCCAGTCTTGCCGACGATGCTTCTTCCCGAAAGATCCGTGCATATCGAGACGACCACCGAGATGTACCCAGAAGAAGTAGCGACCACCATAGTTTCTACCGAAAATGCTCAAGACGACGTCATCCTCGGAATTCTTTCAACGATAACTGAAACGACCACGGTTTTGCCTTCGACAGTCGTCCCGTCCAAAGACGTAAACGCTTTTTACTGGCCAAACCAGAAGCCCAAAAATCCTCAGCAAAAGCACGGGAGCTTCAACTGCCTGGAGAAAGAGATGTACCGCTTCTACGGCGACGCCAGAGATTGCCGATTGTTCCATTACTGTTCGCCCGGTTTTACGAAGCGGCAAGTGTTGGATTTCCGATTTGTATGTGAGGAGGGTACGGTGTTCGACGAGGAGACAGAGAGCTGCCGGCACGATGTGCGCAACAAGAAGTGCCGGAATCGGTCTTGGTGAAAGTGAGAGAAAGAGAAAGAGAGAGGGGGAGACAGAGAGGAAGAGAGAGGAAGAAAGGTGACGCGACAACGCGTGTCCTCTGATCGTTGATTTTGGTAATTCGTGAATCCTAAGACTCCTTAGTATATTTATATAATTCCTAATGTAATACATAAGAACAGCCCCCTTAGTGCGCGCGCCAGCGGAAGAGGATACCACCTCTCCAAAGCATTGCCATAGCGTTTCGCCGAGCGCTGGATTCACACTTATTAAAATTAACGTGCCTCAATCGGCCGTCTCGTCACGTCGATTGGACCAAGGAAGAAGTAAGGAAACCTCGGATGTGGCCAATTCAGCCGAGGATACAAGCGTCTTGAGCGTGCGGCGCAAGCAGAACGCGAGTTCAATCCGCTTCTCGGTAGAAGGGAGCGAATCGCGCCTCTCTAGTATATTAAGTTCATAGACTTAGAAACTCTTATTCTATAAACCTTCTTTTATCGATAAGAATACCTCTAAATGTGCTTATAAGCCAATCACAAGGCTTATAAGTTGCATTTAGAGACACTTCTATAAAAGAGAGTTTAGAATAGAGACCATAGAAATAGACTGCACGAAGAAAAAGAGCCTGGCTGAACTAACGTGTTTGGTTAAATCAGTTTTAATGGAAATAAATAAAATTTCTGGTTATTATAACGAGATATTCTAGTATGTGACCGGAACATTTAGATATAATATCGGTCAGAGTTTGGTTACTGTATTTTGTGTATGCAGTAGTAACATTCAAATATCTATGTATTATGATTATATGGGAAAAAAGAGCATAGTTGAATTGACATGACATGTTTGATTAAGCGATTGTTGGTGGAATTAAAGAGAATTTCTGGCTATTATAATAAAATATGTTGATATTTAACACTCGTTTAATAACATAGATAAACAATTTATATAATAAATGTAATTTTTAAAGAAGTGACGTGGCACATAAAAGAGACGACACGGAAGCCCCCAGAATATAGTCGAGTTCTTTAACTACACACAATATAATATTGAATCAATTAAATATCTAGTTTAAAACAAAATAATCGTACTAACATTTTAAAAAACAACTTTCAGTTCAAGAAAGTAATAAAATTTATAGTAGGAAATGTAAATATAATTATGTTTTTACTGCCCATGTAACCAAACTCTCCTGTCTGATTAATCAAAAAGCATTTAACCAAATTTGTTACTTTAACCAAAATAATGGTTCACATATTTCTTATTAATAACTCTGGTTAATATATCCTAAATTCAGTTGAATACAAATAATTTTTTCTCTTTGCTCATTCATATAAAGCTGCTGAAGACAAGAGTGGAGGATAGAGATGTGCTGAATGAGATATTTTCTCTGTCACATAGTATTGTAAGAGAGGACGATGTAGGAAAAACAAAAGAGAAAATGAAACAGAAAGAGAGTACGTATTGAACATCTTTCCTCCTTCGTTCTCCCTACCAACTAGGCAATTAGACAAGGAAAGCATTTAATTCTTTGTTATCCTCTTTTACTGATGCTGCCTCTATTCCTCCAGGAATGTACAGTCTATCTCTATAAGTCTATGGGTAAATTAAAAAATGTAGAATCGGTTCCTACGATGTTCTCGAAGTGAAAGGAAAGTTAGAAAAAAAGGAAGAAAGCGAAGGTCGTTTTACGTAATTGCGTATAATGAATTGATTTTCTTCCATCCCCCCCCCCCCCTTCCCCGGTCGTTCTTTGCACGCGATTGTTTCAGAATCGAAAGAAATTTCTGAATATATTGCCAAAAGAAACAGCATCACAGTTATTCTTTTAGCGCCTTGCCCGTAATGCAATATATATATTAACAATTTTTGGGAAGAATAACTTCTTTCTCTTCATCGATTGATCGATCGAATGAGACGTTTCATTCGAGATCGATGTAAAGTCCAATATATTTTTTATAAAAACATATAACACGGATCGCATGAAGTGGTGATATTAAAATTTTTTCGCGCGTGTCTGAAGATATTGGAATGTGCCTTTAATCTAAAATTTTTGTAGGACAACTTTATTTCATACGTAAATATTGAGTCATGTATGCCTTATAATTAGAGTTACTTATGCAATTTTCGTGTAACTCTCGATTTAAAGAATGATAAGGTATACTCCACATAGCATACTTTATCCCGAAGATATTCTAAATTTGTGGCAGATTTCCAAATGAAATCTCAAAGATATCCAAGTAAGTAGGCTCCTGGATATTTCAATAGTATATCGTAACATATACTGCAATGTTACGATATCTAAATATCCAGCCAAATCCTTTGGCTTTGCATAAGACATTTCGTCTTTTTAAAACTTTTGATAACGAGAAAAATAAAGATATATTTTCTCAAGATTATTAAGATGTCTCATACTTTGTATTTTTTAAACTAATTTATTGTTTATTCCAATTTACCAATAACGTTTAATTAAAAAACCACAAGTAATCATGACGTCACTGATTCGCTAATATATATTGTGTTGATATCTATCGTATTTCGACTGCTGTTGCGTTTTAATACTTACTAGCAAGTGTTTCATTACTTGTTTCTTTCTTTTGTAAAATATACAAATATATTGTTGCGCTTTCTCGCACTCGCGTCCGGGCAATAAATAAACTACACGTTTAGAAAAGTTGGACGCCTAATATTAGGCTATTTACAAAGCTCTCGCGTTATCAATAGTAATCACTTATTATAATAGTAATCTTGCATTCTCAATTGCCACATGTCTATTGCGGCCGTAGATTCGTGTGTGACTTTCCTGTAACTCTATTGATTCGTCACAGGGAACGCGCATTCGTTCGTCTAGACTGCAATCATCTTCATTGGGAGTATCGGTACTAATCGATATGTGCTTTCGCATGAGTGCAACAATATTCTTAGCATAATCTAGAAAAATAGGGTCAGAGCTCAGTGGCTTCACTAGTTCCTGTCCGATCATTGATGTTAAACAGCGACCGCGGGATAAGGAAGAATAACTGTTCAGAGATAGAAACCACGTAGGAATGCACGTATAAAATGAAAAGATGCAATAATGTAAAAACTAAAATAATAGTTTATTTATTATTTAAACAAAATGGTCAAACATTAGTTTGCTTTACCTCATTTACTTTAGCATAATTTACTGCAAATTATATATATATATATATATATATATATATATATGTATATATATATTCTATAATCATAATATAATTTATTATCCAATGATTAAGCATTGGCCAATAATTACTAAAATATTGCTAATATTTAATCACTGCAAATTTCTTAATAATTCCCAGCGTGTTAAATTTCTGTAAGAGCATAATAAAATATACACTACGATATTTTCTGAGTTTAGCCGAATATACTCTGAACCTTGTCTAAGATGTTTATAGGATATTATATAAGTAAATAGTTGTGCATCTACTGGATATCCATTGAATATCAGAGGTCATTTTGGAAATTTCTACGGTTATTGCAACATGTTAAAATTATGTTTGTAGACTGTCCTTCGGATAAAGTGTGCTGTGTCGACATGAGACGCCAACTATACGTTAAAAGAGTATTTCTATATTCCATTGTATACCGTGAAACTGAGGTATCACAAATACACGGACAATCGTCCGGTTTGTTGCGATCGTCAAATTCAATTTTCGCGGAATCCAAAAATTCCGCGATCGCAGAAGAAATATCATTGCTCAAACTTTTTCTAGATATGAAAGTAGCTTGATGAAACGTAGGTGTCTCGTCCCTTTGAAGTAAGTCGACGTAGTCGATTTACCATATGCGCTACGACAACGCGGCATGTAAAAAGCTATGAAAAATCGCCACACGCAGCTCGTACGTTTCGTCTGGAGTACTCCGTAATGTTCATCTCGCTACACAACACCGCCGTTACGTGACGTCAACGGACTCGCGTTACGTCTCGCGCATACCCTTAATTTCCTATTATCAATTAGTGCGCTTTAATTGCGAGCGCGAAGCGGACGCATTTTTAAGTCAGCCGCAGGTAAACGCATGTAGATATAGAAATTTACGGATCATTTAACGAATTAGATACAATTGAGAAAAGCCACGCGTGTCCTTAACTGGACGTGTTACTCGTTAAAACTCTCGTCCATGTGTGTGTGTGTGTGTGCGTGCGCGCGTGTGTGTATATGTGTGTGTGTGTGTGTACGTGCACTGCTTTGCACGCGCGCATTTCGATGACACAAGTCCGAAAGTATAATTATTATATTTTTTAAGGAACTGTACCATGTCAATAATAAATTTATATTCTATATTAGAAATGTCTATATGTATATATACCCAGATAGCCAAGTCTGCAAAAGTCAGGTTTTGCTAAGTGTGTTGCTAATTGCTGCATATTATGCTGATATAATTTTGGCAATAACGAATGATCTACTATGTCAGATAATGTGTGTATAATAGAAATCTAACAAAATCTGCGTCATGATATGATGGCAAAAATGGTGCAAAAATGAGGCACGATATGTCAGCAGAGCAAGAAAAAAAATTTAAATAATGAGTACAGACATAATTTTTTTACATGAAGCAACATAAAATCGAACAAAGAATGATGTCATATCATGCGAACAGAAAGGCATTAGAAATCAAACTAATTAAGTAGCACTATGAGATAGTAGAAATGCGGCAGAAATCGATCACGATGTGTCGTTCGAACGTAGCAGCAGAAACGCAGCAGAAATGCAACACGAAATGTGGTCTTTTTTAATTCCTCCGCAAACACGATCCGGTGAAATTCGCAAACCTATGAAATTAATAATCGCGAATACGAGCGTGAATGAAAAGTGAAAAATTATGAAAATTATGACGGTACAGATAAAGATTCTATTCAAAATTCACGCGAAAAAAATGTTACTGTGTGAGACGTCTGTCTTCGTTCGATGAAACTTGTCGCGCGCCACGTAAGTAAACAAACAACTGCTCGCATGTCTGACTTGTATACATTGCGTTTTTCGCGAAGGATCAACACTCGCCAGCATTGTCTCTATTGTGTCCCGCGTTAGGAAACTCTAACTCTAAGTGAAAAATTGAAACTTAAAAAATTTTTCGACGATCGTGAAATTAATTTTGCGAACAGTTTATATAATCACGTTAGATCACTTCGTATCACATAATATTGGATTTTACTTAATAACGAAGCACGAACATTACTTTATGAAATGCAATCGCGAATTAAGCTTACACGAGAAAGAAAATTAAGAAAATTAACGACCGGCGAAAGATCTATGACGCGAGTGACATGATTGCGCATTTTCTGTGGCGCAATCTTTGTAGCGCAAATTCTTTGCGCGTTGGCGTTGCTCGAGACACCTAGAAGATCACATTCAATAAAAGTAAATAATTTTACAACATTTCGAATGTTTAGAACGTATACTCAATGGTTTAAGCATCTACCAGGTAGTGTTGGGGTTTAATTAATCAAAATTTCCTCCAACAAAAATCGTCGACCAATCAATACTTTAAGTTAATCAATTAATAAATATATGTACATTGGGAAAAAACTATTTGAAAATTTATTTGTCAAATTTATGTAGAATATGCATTATTAAATTATTCTTTGAAAAAACGATCTTCCAAATGTTTCGAGCAGGATACTTTTTATTGGACGGTACATACGCATACTACAACTACAGAAAAATAAATCGCACTGATTTATAAGCATTTTCATAGTTTTTCACTTTTCATTTACATTCGTGTTCGCGATTATTATCCGCAACTTCATAGGTTATTATCCGCAAAAGCATTGCGGAATTGTCTTTGCAAAAGTATCGCGGAACTGTTATCCGCAAAAATATTGCGAAGCTGTATTGCAACTTACCCATCGCAACGTTACATTAGGGATATTCCGTGTCGTACGTGAGAGTCTCGCACAAATTACTTCGCCCACGCGTCGAAAGGTTTCGCGAGTCGGTCTTCGATTCGCGTTGCGTGTTCCCTTCGTTCGCGAATTCCGTTTTCTTTGTAAGCGATTCGCGTCGCACGTGTATCAAAGCGATACACTACAACTCGATCGGACCGTTGCTTAATTCGTCGCACATACTCGTTGTTTATCGGAAAGGCCGACATTTCCTCGAAGACGCAGTTTGCGATATTTCATACGCAATTCGTAACTCGGAGTGTATCCCCCAAGAGAGAAGGGATTTTTCGTGAAACCTCCGTTAGACTACCGCGGTCGGGAATGAATTATAGGCGACGTAGGACGAGAGGACCATTGCAATGTCAGATACAGTGATGGGATGGCTGGTGAATCCTGGACACCGTGAGACAATGGTGAGCGCAATGGTGAGCGCTTAATTTAGACGTTCTTATAATAGACACAAAGCGTCACCTTATGTAGATTGCATGCACGTAGACGTAAATCGCATTGTGTTCTGTGCTTTTGGTATCAAAAGCAGATGTCATCACGCAGGGCCGTATTCTGTCATTTTAAGGTGCACAGAGCTTTCGCGATACTCGCACGAAATGTCAATATGTTGCGCTGTTATTGTGCTTGTGGTACTACTGTGTCCAAAAAGTAAGACCAATTTTCAAGTTAAATTACGCGGGTATATCGAATGTCAGAAATATTTTTTTTCTAAATTGGTAGCACTGTGACAGACATCTGTGTCAAATTATGCGTCGTTTATGTGAAGTTATTCGCAAAAAGAGGCCGGAATTGTGGAAAGACAACTCTTGGTTTTTGCACCACGATAATGCGCCATCTCACACTGCATTGGTTCTTCGAGACCATTTCGCTAAAAATTCGACCCATATCGTTCCACAACCACCATATTCACCTGATTTAGCACCGTGTGACTTCTGGCTATTCCCTAAACTCAAAAGACCGCTCCGGGGACACCGTTTTGACTCGATTGAAGAAATACAAGCTGAATCGAAGAAAGCTTTAAAGGCCATTCCGGAAATCGACTTTAACAACTGTTTCGAGGGTTGGAAAAAACGCTGGCATAAGTGTATTGTGTCTGAGGGGGATTACTTTGAAGGCGACGAAATAGATTTGGAATAATAAATAAAGATTAAAAAAAAAAAAATGTAAATTGGTCTTACTTTTTGGTAAGGAACATTCCACCATAAACGAATAGTGGTCACATTTGGCGGCAACTGATAATATCAGTTGTTGAGTTACTAGATAATCTCTTTAGAGCTGTAGTTTCGTGTTGTTATAATTGTTTACATCTAATCCCTTAGGAAAAATTACTTTAAGATGTTCAAATTAACTTAAAGTTATTTAAAGTTAATTTGAACAACTTAAAATAATTTTTCCTAAGGGAAGTCATATTAATTTTTGTATTTTCTAACTTTTAAAATAAATATTTGTTCGAAGATTTTTGTAATTTTTTATAATTAAAGTTTTGTTATTAGTCAAGGATTGCGAGTAGTATGCACAGTAGTATGCTGCTGCATCTGGATAGCACAATGACAGTATGCATGCGCGCACCGTGCGATCATCGCGTAATCATTTGGTTATTGGCGTAATGAAATTCCAAGGAACACTTTAGAATGAATTAGACACGCACTATCTGACATAGCAGATCATACTTTGTTACTGTCAAAATTATGTTAGCATAGTATGCAGCACACATTTAGCAAAACCTGACTTTTGCGGGCTTGGCTATCTGGGTAAATAAGAGTCTTTGATCCTCACTTTCTTTTATTTATTTTAATTCTACTTTAATATATTTGTTAATTGAAAATATCCTAATTACATAAATTAATGCAAAAATTTAAAAATAACACGTCAATTCTACGATGCATTTTGATTCTATTAACACTATTCCGTTCGTTGTGCGATGAATGTTTACCTTTACTTTTTTACTCGGAGAAGATTCTATGTTAACTACGTATCCTTAAAATAACTTATCATAATATTATAATAATATATTACATATCTCTTATTGCATCTCAAAATTAATACGCAGTTAACGATAAACACATCACATATGTAGTTGGATTTTTTTTACAGAGCATTTATGAAGTATAAAAATATGCAATTATCTGCTAAATGAATTATTTGAATGTGTGTTATAAACGTCATAATACATGTAAAATTGCTGAAACGTATAGTTACTAAGATTCTTAACACTTATTTCTTCGGAACTATGGAACTGTTGTACGCTGTGTTGATTTTCATTCTGGTTTTTTAATCCGCTTAGATTTAAAAGAGCTTCACTGGCTGGTCTACATTTGATTCACGGGTCCTCAGTTTCGCTTCGCTTTCACTGAAAGAGGAAACATTTTAATCTAAATTATAATTAATCTAAATTATAATTAATCATTTTAATCTAAATTATAAACGCAAGAAAATTTGTTCTTCAACAAGTATTAGTTTGAAGAAGTCAACAAATTTAATAAATGTAAACGTAGGAAATTAACAGGGCTTATGAAAGCTGAACCGGGAGGAAGTGATTTATTAAATATTACAAGTAAAAACAAAAACTGCGCACCGGATATGTGCTTGTGCTCTCATCAAAATCGCAATAAAAAACAAACGTTTTGATTCTTCATGGGATCTTTTTCAATGTGTAAATAGCCCTGTTAATTTCCTATGTTTACATATTATACATCTTAGAGTTTCTTAATTTTTTTATATTCTAAACTTATGAAACGTGATAAAGTTTACAAATTCTCGAAAAAGAATCTTGACACGGAAGGAAATATCAAACGATCCATTTTAATTATTATGAAAAAGTGTTCTTAATCATTTGCATGATATAGATACATATACACAGAAAAACATTATTCTACTGCTAAGAAAAGCGATTATTCAGTTAATTTTTCTTCTCTAAAGCAATAGTTATTTTCAACAGAGAAAATTTTAATTCCAATAATTCCAGTAATAGAAAATTAACAGGGTCTATGAAAGCTGAACCGGGAGGAAGTGCGCATTTATTAAATATTACAAGTAAAATCAAAAACTGCGCACCGGATGTGTGCTTGTGCTTTCATCAAAATCGCAATAAAAAACATTTCGATTCTTCATGGGATCTTTTTCAATGTAAATAGTGCCCTGTTAATTTCCTATGTTTACAATTACCTTATTCCAATCTAATATTTCATCTTCAGCAATTATTCAGTTCTGAAGTGTTTCGCACTTCAAACGGTTAAATGTAACTCACCATCCGGTAACATTTTCCGCGGCGTCGCAAGCATCGATCAGTTCATTGAACGCGTTTCCTTCGCCGCAATTCTGCAATCGCGGATGGCCGTTTACGCAGAGGTAATAATGGTGGCAGTTGGCATTGCTGCGGTAGAATCTGATCCCGCCACCGAAGTATAAGTTATTCTTCACTTCTGGACAGCGAAAGCCCAGAAAAGCTTCGGCGTCGCAGTCCGGCACCTGATCCGGCCAATCGCACCGGTAGCTCTCCGGATTGAAAGCCAGACCTTCGGGACAATCAAACACGTAGCCTCTACCGTCCACGCAGTTCATGAATTGACCGCAATGCTGATGGTCGCCGATCTTGAAGTAGCCGTACTGATGAGGACAGTCTAGAGACGGGTCCGCCGGCTCTGAAAATAATTTAAAACGATAAGTATGATGTTGCGACACGTAAATCTGTCGCGGAAGCATTTTCATACAAAACTAATCAGAAGAATGTGGGAATAATCAAGGATATTGTTTGGTGTTGTATGTTATCGTACGATTGTCGTGACGATGAGCAACAATGGCAGTAGGTCAAAATAAAGATAAACAAACTAATAAGCGATAAATGTTTTTCAGAATATTAATTGGCATACACAGAGAGAAGGATTTATTGAATCAAATAAATGTTTCTTTGGAATAGTCCAAACAAATTATTTAATTGACAACAAAAATATTTCTTTGGAACTAAGCCGAAAATAAATATTTTTGTTGCGTCAAACAAAATTTTGTTCGATCAATCAAAAAATTCGTTTGGACTATTCCGAAGAAGTATTTATTTGATTCAACCAAGTCGTTCTCTCTGTGTATGCCAATTAATATTCAATAAAAGTTAAATTTTAATTTAAAAATTACGTAACAATATATATATATATTGAAAAGAGAATTCAAGACAAATTTTTTTTATTCAACTGAGATTGAATCTCGAACAATCTGGAACCTTCACCTCACTAAACTTTGATTAGATTTATACTGCAATTCTAGACAAAATCGTAAATCTCGTAACTTGTTCTCGTAAGAACTTTTGAGTAGATCTGCAATTCTATGCGGACTGTATGTCATGTGATAATTCGTAAATATCTACGATTTTCTTTTTCGTAAGCTACAACTTTATGATTTTACGATTTACTCGTATATTTGCTTAGGATTGCAGCATTAGAAATTAATAGATATTAATTGATCATTAGAAATTGTTGCAAGTTATAACGTAAAGGAACTTGTTGTATTTTGAATACAACTGTATGTTGGAACATTCCACCATAAACGAATAGTGGTCACATTTGGCGGCAACTGATAATATCAGTTGTTGAGTTACTAGATAATCTCTTTAGAGCTGTAGTTTCGTGTTGTTATAATTGTTTACATCTAATCCCTTAGGAAAAATTACTTTAAGATGTTCAAATTAACTTAAAGTTACTTAAAGTTAATTTGAACAACTTAAAATAATTTTTCCTAAGGGAAGTCATATTAATTTTTGTATTTTCTAACCTTTAAAATAAATATTTGTTCGAAGATTTTTGTAATTTTTTATAATTAAAGTTTTGTTATTAGTCAAGGATTGCGAGAATGTTTTAGATATATAGAATAATATAGTATAAATTATGTTTATAATTTTACTTTTTATTTTAGATTCAGATAATATTTTATTTGATTTACTTTGAGAGAATAGTATACGCTTTGCTTCTGTATGGCCCGCAGTCAAAGGGTTAATTAAGAAACCCGTTTCTAATTAAATTTATAATTAAAGTTTGAGCTTCGACTTTTCAAATAAGATACAATTAGCTTTGAAAGCTTCAGATCACGACTTTTATATGTTCGCGAAATGATTGTAAATTTTCCAAGTGTTTGCAATCGTGATTAACTTACGTAAGTTAGGCCTGCCCGTGCAGTCTACGTCAATTGGATATCCGCAAGGATAATTGAAACGTGCTTCGGGATTGAAAACCAAGCCCTCAGGACACAGCTTCTCCTCGGAAACTCCGTCGATGCATTCGATGTAGGCGTCGCATTGGTTCTGTACCGGAAAACGGCCGTTCCTCTCCGGACACGACGCGGATGCTCCGTGCTTCGGCGATAACTGCTGGTTTCGGTTGAACTGATTACCAAATAACTGATTCGAAAATCCTTGATTTTGATTAATTGCTGAAATGCGATACAATTTATAGAATAAATGGAAACTGTAAATCATATCAGAATAATTCGGTTCGCTGCAAACAACTTTGACAAATCCGCAAATATTCTATCGAACATATTTTTAATTTAACCAAACACGAAGGTGTAACAAAATTGAATGCAATGCATGTAGAAAACAATTCCTCTATTAAACGTTGTTATCGAATCGCACGGTAAAGTCGCTTTCCAGATGTCGATTTAATCCACAATATTGTGCACAAAACCTGTCAAACGAGTCGATCCAGAAAGCATTAATAAGTCGTACAAACGCAGCGTATACGGTTATCACACGATGGCGAAAGTTCGGCGATTGCCGACAGCACTCGACCTCTACGAAGACGACGCATATATTAGTGTCACCTGCGCGCATCGCTTACGTAATAAACGTGCGCCGTTTTTAACCGATTCGCCGCAGGCAGTGTATCGGAGACTGAATCTAGTGGCCCGAGAATTTTATAAGGGAAGATAAAATCGCGCGGAAACCTGAGGAGATAAGTAAATCTTCGAAAGGAACGATTACAATTGAAACATTAATTTTGATCGAAAAATTAAATCCTGCATTGAGAGAAAAATGGTTAATCTCACCAAAATTATAGTCAATTCCGGCGTTAACTATATCTTCTTGTTGTAACAAAGAAAATAATAGTATTCAATATGCACATAAAGTTATTATCGTTCGCTAACAAAATTTACTTAAAACAATGATTCTTTTAAGTATAATTCTTTGACTACACGGAAAAAATTTTATTGTAAAAATTACTATAGAATTTTGCAACTAAGGAAAAGATGGACATTATGTTAATAATTTAATTAATAAATATAATATGAATGGCTCTGTATCAATTACAATATAAACTGTGTGAATACAAATCTGTAAAAAGCAAATGCCAATATGGGCAAAAAACTAATTTATTTTATACAGGATATTATCTTTCCTCTGTCCACTAAGTATATAGCGTTATTCCTTATAGAAAACTGAACTGGAAAGTTCTGAGCCATTTTGTCGAAACAAGATTTTATTTATGCTAACTTTTCAATATTTAATATACCATATCTTTATAGATAAGCCCTAAATTAAAAATCTATTCAAATAAAATCCGCTTGAAGTTGACCGGAGAAAATAGATTTGCTATCCACTTAGTCGCCTGAAGCACAATTTGAGAAAAGTCTTGTTTCTTCAATCGCTTGTATTTCGTAAACTATTAACATTGTGCTCCTAATTTTTCAACAAATTTTCACGAGGAATGACGCTATAGCAAGAACGATAACACTTTGTAAAAATTAAAAGACAAATGTTTCAGTCAATTATTGGTCCTCTTCGATAATAATAAACTAATTTATTTAACAATAATTTATGATTCTTTTATTTTATATGTGCCATTTATATTTTAGAAACTGAAATGTACTGTTAAATAGTACTGTTAAATAATTTGCTGTGTTTCTAGAGAAATGTATCATGTTTCTTAGCAAAATAGATTTTACTGACAATTTATTCCTGCGTTATTAAAAACATAGTAATATCCACACACAAAAGAATTTGTGTGTGCGTGCGCGCGCGCGTGTCAAAAGAATTATAATATATGTACATATTCTTTCTATGTACGCGACTATAGTTACAAATGTCAAACATTTTTCTTAGTGCACACTCGCGGTCGGAAAAGTTGTTTGCTTTTTTTTTGTAAGTTTCGGAATCTATCTGTCTTGTCCAATGAGAGAGCTCTTTTATCAGAAAATAAATTCTTCGATTGGATAAGAAGGATAGATTCCTAAATTTACAAAAAGAAACTAGATAACCTTTTCGACTGCGAGTATACAATCTAAAAAAAATCCTTCGCAAAGGATCCTCATAGTATTTCTTTTTGCATAACAAAAATTAACGGAACAATTTGGTACAAATTCTTCCAATGATTAAAAGCTATAGAAAAGAATTTTGCAGAGAAATTTCAAAAATATTTTATATCTTTTGTGAACTGAAAGGGGGAGATTTCTTCCCTCTCTCTTTCTCTCTGCGACAATTGATTTGCTCGTGACTGAGCATAGCATGATAGAGAGCCAGTCCAACATTCGCCCCAGGATACGGCGAGAGGTCATGAAACGACGAAGATGGTTTCGCGCACGGAAATCAGTGGCGATTCCCGGAAACGTTTTCCCAGAAATTTCCATGGGGTCAGAAATTGTGCAAGATAATGAATGCAAACAACTGGAGAAAGTTCCGCTGATTACAAACTTAGTTATCCATCGTTAAGCTGACGTGGGCGAACATTAATTTTGCCTGTCGAGGGTTTCAACCAGAGTGAAAAAGACGGAGAAAGAGAAGGAGAGAAGGGCCACAATCAAAGAGATTTCCATTTTTATTGCTCGATCTGTCAAAGTGAGTTATCTTTGGCTTTCTCTGTTCATTATTAAATTGAACGCGAATGCGACGTGAATTATAACTCGTTACTTGTTTATTGTGGATCAACAATATAGTAATCGTATAATTTTGTAATATAGCAAATTAATATTCATACTTTCCAAAGTTTCGTATGAAAATGTGTTTCTCTAGTGACGCGCGAACGCATCGCATACGGATTAAAGATGCGCTCGTGACTAAATATGTTCATAGTCGCTTCGCGAAAAAATGCTATTCAAGTCGCGTTGAATTCATAAAAGTAGGTTCATACAAGCTTCTCAATTATGCCGGCATCGTTTTATAGCTAACCTCGTTAACTTATTCTGGAACTACCCGTTGGGAAATCACTTAACGTGTTACATAATACTTGTAGAAAAGATTACTTATAGATTACTTACATAATACTTGTAAATTACACATAAAAAAATGTGTAATCCCTTTTCTACAAGTAATAGTTTCCACATTAGTGGAACATTTTTAGTTTTTAAGATAGTAAAAACGAGATTCTCTATGACCAGATTTTCGTAAATAAACCAACAAATTATAATGGATCAAGTCTCAATCGTCGTTCACAAATTCGGATACACACGATCCTGATTTCTATTGATTTAATATATAATCATTGGTAATCGCGCACTTTGATTATAGTTTTCACGATTCGGCTTAAAATTTTGGTTTGAGTGCATTTCACATGAATTTTTCGGCCTTCCAATTTGCAGATACTAAATATCTTGGAGCGAACGGTGTGTGTGTGTCTATTTAAACATTTAAATATAGAAAATAGCCATCAATGGCGGTTTCATCACTCGCGTCGTAACGAGTCACATCACTGCGATCGCGTAATAGCAGTTACACGGGAGAAACGAACGAGGTAACTCTTTGCTCTCGCGATTGACGAGCAAACGGAGAGGTGCTTCACTTTCTCGAGTCGCGCCAGAACACGAAAGGATAACGTTTACTCACAGGTCGTAACGGCGAAGACGCCGCAAGCGATTAGCAGATGAACGATCGACTTCGGGACCATCTCGGCTGTGTGGAGTCGCGCGCGTACTCGTTAACACGTTCCTTCTGAACCGATCCCGAAAAGAGGACTACGACGCGCCAGCACCTCCTGGCACGCTTTTATCATCTTCGCGCGCGCGGATGAGAGCGGGAGCGGGCCGTCGCGACCTGTAAGCCGTTTCGATCGTCTTCTTCGCGCAGAAGATGCCATCCGACCGCAGAAAACCTGTCCTTCTCTAAAAGTAAAAGGCTCACGTGGCTTCGATCACTAGCCGAAAGTGTGGTCGCGAGTCTCATTCATTCCGCGGCGATTTTAATACGAAGCGCAGTTCAAAGTATGTCGGTCGACTCATTTCTCTGTTTCACGCGACATTAAATCTATGGCTTTTTTTATTTTGAAGTTAAATTATAATAGAAATTCACCTATATAAACGGAGATTTGGATAAATAGCTTTTAACGCGACTCGTTATCTCCGCACGGAAAAAAAGATTTGCTAATATATATATTAGCAAATCTTTCAGCTATCATAACTAAATAACTTTGCTATGAAAGCAAGAACATTTGCTTCTGCAGCTAATATTTTTAATTGTCCACATATTAGCAAATCTTTTTTTTTCTTGCGGATTCCCGGCTGGCAAATTTTTATTTAAGAAGTATAAAGTATCTTAGCTAAATATTCTGATAATGCTTTTGAATCATATTATGGTCGTTCCATTTATAAATTCGCAACCAATATCGCATTTATTAACGTGTACGATATCTTGGAACTTAACAGACAAAGTCTATACGACTTACGGCGCAGCGGTGCGTTTGTATGAATGTCAAGACGAAGAAATGCCATTTGCGAGCAGCCTCGTCCGCCTGCCCGCACAACGATGGCAATTGCGGAGGTCAAGTCTCTTTTATCGCCAACCAAAGAGCAAGTTGTAATGCACGTCGCATTTACAAGCATATTTGTGCGCAAACTATACTTCATTCTTTTTGCATAATTCATATTGTATAGCCGTCGTTGCATAATTCAACATGAAAATATAATTTGCACGAGAAACTACGCGACAGTATTACGATGCGACAAAATTAACTCAAACACTTTACAAATAATTGTTACATTTTTTGAAAAAGTACCTTTCTTGATCAAAATATTAGATAGAGCTCTCACAATATTCAATCACAAATTTAAATAAATATGAGTAAATTAAAAAAATAAAGATTAAATAAAGATTTTTCACATACATACATACGTAATATAAATAAAGTAACATCCCTATTATGAGTTGAGTCTTAATTTCAGATTAAATTTTTAATTAATTTTTAACTAATTTTTAATTAATTTTCTATTAATTAAGATTTAATTTTTTATTAATGTATCATAAAAGTATATATTATGTGTGGTGAAAACAGGTACGTAAAAAATATTTGATTGGATTAACTAAATGTCTGGTGAAAAATATGAAGGAAAATCAGAAATTTCGATTGAAATAGACCAGAAAGATTTAACCATTTCGTAGTTGCGGGACATATATATCCCACTTACGAAGGAGTCATAACTTTAAGACTGTTTCGGACTTGGTAAGAAACAGACCGAGTTACCGGAACTACTGGGAAACCGCAGGAAGTTTGAGAGCACGTAGCGTAGTTTCCAAGACATGCGCTACCAAGGACGAGCAAGGATTTAACCGAGCGATGTAAGAGTCGAAATCGTAATATTAATAAAACTTTATTAGTATTACCAGAATCAATCCATTTGAAGAGACAGAATAGAAATCGTCGCTTCTGAGGCTTGCGTGAGCTTTGTTGGTTCCTCGCGTTCTTCTCACTTCCGTAGGTTACTCAGAGAGATTAACGAGACTAGTCGCACGAGAAAGAGAAAGACAAATCTCGAAGAAAGTTACCGTTAAAAATATGATAGCGAAACAAAATTGAGACTTTAACTTTTGGGCAAAGAGCGATTTCACTTATAATTTTCTCAAACGCACACGGCACGCATTGATTGGTCGCAGATCAAATTAACGGTTTGATTCTGAAGCTTTGTTCTTATATATCTAATATGTCCTTTTTTTCTTAGAAGTTATCTCCTCTTGTATGAATTCTTATCTCTCTAAATAGGCCGTAAATAAAATTCTAAGGTGCAACTTTTACTCTCCGTAGGAACATAATACAACCTCTTGTTCCCTCTCTTATTTTTCTTTTATTCTCACTCTCGAGCGACACAGAAAGTGTTCATCGCGATGCACGATCGTAAGTATCGGCGGAGACGAGCATCTCGCTCCGGGCTCGGAATGAAACCTTGACATTTTCCTCGTATCGGCGTGTAAGTCGCCTCGAACGTTTGGAAGGTAGCCATACGGAAAGTGGTGGTCTCTTACCTTGTAAAGTGGCGGATGCCCGATTACATCACGAAAATACTGACGGCGATTCTCGGCGAGTGTTTCACGTGCCATAACATGCCGTCACTATCGCCATCACAACGCCGTTATTTCCGCGTGTTGTAACGCGCGTTACTTTCGATGAATCAGGAATTTGACAGCGTTTACGCATCCAAATACGGACATTTCTCGCGCGTTAATAAACATTGACGCGCGATCATTACCATTTAAGCCGTTCTTGTTGAAGAATGACTTTAGTATCGTTCGCCCAATGACTATCGGTATCCACTGCCGCGATTTGCTTGCCGACGAAAGCTCCGTAATACTACTTTCCTCTATCTTTCCACACACACTATAGTTATTATATATTATATATTATATTTATTGCTTGCTCACTACGTATTTATGTAATAATATCAGTTTACAATTAAATTTCTTTTACATGAATCAAATTAGATGATTTGTATCATCTAGGGTTTTTTAGTGATGTGATTTTTAAGAGTTTCGGGAAATTTTCTTTTTTTTATACAAGGTGTTTACCATAATGGTATTCACTGTGCTTTTACCAGTTACAATGATAAGACAGAAAAAGTTCTAGATGCAATTAATCAATTTTTAAATGACAATAAAATGTGATCATAAAAATTCCGAAAACGTCCTTTTTTCATAAAAAAATCAAAGTCACTTCACTTTTTTTCGCACGGAACCATATTTATATTTTTTTATTCGTAGTGTTATAAAGAAAGTCAAAATAAATTCAATAGTAATTAATGCTATCTTTATCGCCAATTAAGAACAAAAAAAGGCACAGTAATATAATAATGAAAATTTTCAACAACGTTGGAGAGACCGCGTATAGATGACTCCAGATGTATGTTACTCATTTGTTCTTTTTAATGTTTATCTTAAGAGAAGTATTGGATACGACACCGCAAAATGATTCTCTTAGAATATCAATACTATTTCCTTAGTTTTTCAATAAAACTGGAATAATATTATAGTTAAAAAATAGAAGAAAACTGATTCATTAAAATTGGAATAATATTATAGTTAAGAAATAGAAAGAAAGTATGATTTAGTAGTAGTAAAGTAAATTTTCGAGTCTTTAAAAATTTTGTATTAATATTCTCCACCGTGAGTTAAAATAATGAAATTAAACGACGTATTTTTTATGAAATTTCTTAATATACTGTTTCATAAAATATAATATACTAATTCATATAATAATATATTAATTCATATAATATATATAAAAGCAATTTTTATTCATAAAATGATTGAAATCAAACATATGGACAGACGAGATAAAGTTAGCCTATAATTGAAGAGCGACAGAAGGGCTGTGTAAACAAAGTAATTACGCATTAACTCTCGCAAAGCAACTACTAATAAGAATATATGTGGCCTCTTTTTTTCTACCTTTGTCCACTAGGCAACTACGAATTCGATACCAGAATAAGATGGCCATGTTGCTGCACGTTTGTATTTTGGTTATTACAAAACAAAATATACGTTTAACAAGGCAGTGGCAAGCATTAACACATAGAAGAAGGCTGCCTTTATCATGTTTGTACAGTCAGTCACAATAATTAGTTGTTTGAGAAGTTGAAACTTCAAAATTTTGAAATATGAGATATTTAATCCCGATATCTCTTATAACACAAGTATATATATGCAGAAAAATAAATCGAAATATTCATTAATATACCATATAAAACTTTATTGCAAAGAGCGGAGCTTTTTGTTGTGGAAAATGAATCACATTTGGAACATATCCCGTGAGCACTAAAACTAACATTATTCATCACACTATATACTAAACATTATTGTACCTTCTGTCTATTTTTACTAAAAAATTAAATTAAATATTAAGTTAAATATTAAGTTAAATATTAGTAAAAATAACACTATGAGACAGAGAGAGAGAGAGAGAGAGAGAGAGAGAGAGAGAGAGAGAGAGAGAGAGAGAGAGAGAGAGAGAGAGAG